AATCATGAGAGAATAATTATTTATTTAATTAATTGTATTAAATTTATTATGTGTTATAAAAAACGTATTAACTTATTTTTACCATAGTACCAAATCTACTAATTTCTTTCAGTGCCTCCACTCGCTGTCAGAATAACTGGCTGCTGGCGAAGGCGATTTTGTGCTCGTAATCCGCGCAGGTCAACAAACAAATTACGCTTTAAACTAATTAAAATCCATAAATGTGGGGACATGATGCTGGATGCCAGTAGTTGGCGTTTTTGCCCCACTCCCACCGCATCCATATCCCCTATAATTGTGGGCATTCCGGCATCCAGTCTAGCTCCAGCGATTGCCCACCAAAACTCCGCCGACCGGAACTCCGCCCCGCCGCACAGAGTCACCAACAAACTAGTAACTCTGGAATCGGACGCAGATCTATCCAATCTAAAAACCACCACCACCAGCAACACCATACTATATGTGTGTTGTATATTGGGCAAGTGCTGGAATTACGGCAACATTATAGTACATTATCTGCTTCAGACCCCCTTTGAAAAAAGGCCAGCGACAACTTCATTTGTCAGCGGGAATGGGAGTTGAAACGGGTGATCTAGGGGGAAGGAGGTAGGGGGTAGGGATAGCACAACAAAATTTACGTTTGACATTAACAGCAGTGCGGAATTCAATGAAAAATAAGAACGAGGGCGGTGCCAGAAGTTCTTAAATTTAATAAATATGAGAAACAATGATTTAAAAGGACAAAGCTCATTATCAACTTTAACTCCTGATCATTATCTTAAAAAAGCTGTAATATAATTTATATAATTTCATTGCCAAATCCAAATCCAAGTCCATCCCTCTTCTTTAGCTTTAAAGCTTAGAAAACCTCACAAATTAAGTCTATTATATACACAGCCTGAAGACAAATTAATTAGACTTGAACATGAAAGTTGAGTATTCAGTTTAGTTCTAGGAAATGACGAGTCACAACCTATGTATGACGAATAATAAATATTATTAGCAAAAGAATGTTGTCTTTTAAATAGATTTAATTAATAATAAGCGTGATGTGTCTTTCCTAAATCAAAAAGTGTGGTGGCCCCTTGACTTTTGTTGAGTGAATGAAATTAAGGGAAAGCCTGAATATTAACTCAGCTTACCATTTTTTTTGTGACCACAAATTCCCCCCTCGATGTGGCATTTGAGAGGGCTGCCTTTTTGGGTTTTAGGGTCCCGGTTTCACATACATATAGTAGTGGTATTTAGTTTGGTTCGAGGCCCGTTACCATGGCTTTATAGAGCTGCTCTCAACACACACCCTTTGTTGTTGCTGGCTGTGGTGGTGTCGCTGGCGTTTTGATCTATGGATGCATGAATGATTCGCTGCGCACCGCAGCAGCAACAACAGCAGCAGCAGCAACAGCCATAATGACACCAGAAAACAATTGAAATAATTCTAGCAGAAATGTCTGTTAGCTCACCGAGCGACCGTCCGACCCGGGGCAGCCAACTTTATTCGTGGTGTGTGTTTTTCCGTGGCTCAGTTTCCATTTCAACGTCGAGCGGACATACGGGAAAGTTGCAGGGCGAAAGAAAAAAAATATATACATACGTTTTTAGCGAAATATTCACGCATATTTCGTTTGGTCGCAACGGTGAGGACTGTATGAAAAAAAAATAGCATATCATAATTAATAAATGCGCTTAAATGCGCCATGAACTATGCAAAAGTTATGTGCTAAAAGTGAGAGCTAAAAAGTGAGTGTTGCGACTGGCAATCATGTGGAAGGCATTAAGGATTCAACGCTTTTTCCGGCTCCTCCCGATCCTGCTGCTCCTCGCGTTCAAGTTTAGCTTAGGCCAGCAGACGCACATCAAGCTGGAGCAGGGAGACCTAGTTGGGGTGAGACTGGGATGTTTATGTATAGATCTGGCGGTATATATAAATATGATTCCTTGGCATTTGCAGCTTAAGGTCTTTCCCGATGGAGCACGTGGTGCTGTCTATGCCTTTTTGGGTATTCCGTATGCCCAGGCTCCGGTCAATGAACTGCGATTTGCGGTAAGAACGAGAACTCTACCTTTTTTTATTTGTTTTAAGTTTTTAAAATATTAAATAATATATAATACAAGTTAATATATTGATTATAATATTGCTATGATGAGGAAGGCTTTGGAAGCTTTAGATTTATGTAAACTTAAATAAAATAGTTACTACATATATTTACTTTCAAGTGGAGTTCCTTTTGTTATTTTGCAGTTTTCAAAATATTGTTAAACAATTATCTAACCTTGAACAACGGCATAACTAAGTTTGGCTTAAACTTCTCTACTCATTATTCCATTTTTGTTATTTTCCCCTAAAACCAATGACCATGATGGTCAAAATAAAGCTGTATTAACCCCAATTGTTGATTTTAATGTATGGATTACCATCGATTTTAATATAATTGTTTTGTTTTATTTTAATTTTAAAATAATTGTTGTTGTTTCGATTATTATTTCCCAGCCCGCCAAGCCGAGTCCCAGTTGGAATCGCACCCTCCAGGCCACCGCCATGCAGCCCCTTTGCCCGCAGCTCTCGAACACCGTTTATGACGAGACCTCGGATGGCACTATTCCCAGATCAGTGAGCACAGATGAGGACTGTTTGTACCTCAACATTTGGACACCGGAGTCGGGGATGCGGTATGGCAAGCTGCCCATCGTTGTGATTGTCACGGGTGAGGGATTCGCCTACGACTGGCCCCGAAACCGCATCAACGGATTGGATCTGGCCGGCGAGGGAATTGCTGTCGTGAGCGTCCAGTATCGGAACAATATCTATGGCTGGCTGGGATTAGGGGAGCAGCATCGTCATCTGTCGGGGAATTATGGATTAAGTGATGTCAGGATGGCCTTGCGGTGGGTTCAAAGGAATGCAGATGCCTTTGGCGGTAATCCGGATCACATTACCCTCTTGGGTCATGGAAGTGGTGGAGCTCCACTGGCACTGGCGCTTGCTTTGGAGGAGTCTCAGCTGGCCAAGAAACTAGTGCTGATGTCACCAGGTCCTATAATGCGTTCCCTCGGAAAGAATCACCAACGGCGGATAGTGGAAACGGGCCAGGTTCTCGTCCAGAAGTTGGGCTGCCAGTTCGAGGAGGCCCAGCGTCGCCAGTTGATGGGTTGCCTGAGGCGAAAGAGTCGCGAGGACCTGCTCCGAGCCTACGAAAGTGTCTACAATCATGGCAATGGCAGCTCCCAGCTGGGTGTGATTCTACCCGGAGGATTGGATCTAGAGCAAAGGCTACGAAATGAGACGCTGCCACCCCTGCTTCTGGGTATAGCCTCCAATGAAGGAGCCTTCCTGCAGGACTATTGGTTGGATGTAGCCCGAGAGGGTCAGCTGGCTCTGCAGGAGTACATCAATCACACTCTGTTGCCCAATGTAATGCGATCTCTGGAATCCACGGGTGAAGAGAGTGCCTCCCAACTGGCAGCCATCAGGTGGAGATATTTCAATGGCAAGGGAGAGAGTGTTATCCACCTGCTGGGCGGAATGCAGCGTCTACTCTCAGAATCCCTGTACGAGCTGCCTTTCTTTCGCCTAATGGATCTCGTCAATGGGAGCACCACCAGCTACGCCTATGTCTTTGACCAATCCCACTCGATGGACATGCGCGGCAGAAGGAATCTCTTTGGAGGCGCCTCCCACAGCTCGGATCTTCCACTGCTCCTGGGTCCCAGTTTGTTTCAGCAAATAGCTCGTCGCAGGTTCAGCGGTGAGGAGGAGCAACTGTGCCGCAAGCTAAGGGGAGCCTTTGCGAACTTCATTAAGAACGGGAATCCCACGCCGGGCAGAATATACGACGGATGGTTGCCCTACAACAGGGAGAACCCATTCGTTTACAGCTTGGGAGAGCAGCCGGCGAAGTCAACACAAGCGGGTTCCATCGATGAGGCAGAGGTGGAGAAGTTACTGAGAGCGGAAACGGGAGTTTCGGGCTTGGATCGGAGTCTATCTCGAAGCAATCGCCACGACTCGTACAGAGCCACCCACGCCAACTCCTACACAGCCAGCAATCAGCAGGATTCCGGTTACTCCAATCACCTACAGAAGGTTTACGGATTCTGGCAGGTGCTGCTCCCCCTGGAAAGAGAGCAAGACTTGAAAGGAGGCGCCCTGGGTCAGCGCGTGCGACTCCTGGAGGCGAGTGCTGATGCGGCCCGCTATCGCCAGGGATTCTATGCCATGCTGGGACTGGTCTGCCTGCTCCTCGCGTGCCTCTGCCTTTGTGTCTATCTACTGAAAAGGGATCCCCATCCGATGCGAAGACGCAGTGCTTCTTCGGCTTCCGATTGCTATAGCTTATGACATAAGTGGTTTCGTTGGACGACCATCTTTGGGGGCCGGAAGGACGAGCGGCCGTCGACCTCGGGCATTGCCAATGTCGAGTCCTGGCGCAAAGGTGGTCGTGCAACGAAACGGGAACAGGATGGAGCGGGATCGGGAGGAGGAGAAGGATCTAGAAGTGGAGGAGGTAATCTTGAGGGCGAGCGACGAGAGCAGGTCCTCAATAATCAGCGTGCAAGACGTCCCCGTCAATTGCAGCCGTACGATTTCAAGGCTGCCAACTCTAATGGAGGTGGAACGGGAGCAGGACCCGGAAGAGCGATCGGTAACGGAGCCGGAGCCAGCGGTGGAGTTGGATCAGCAGCTGGGGCAGCACCTGGATCTGTTGAGGAACTCCTGGACCCTATCGCCGGCAAATTCGAGCCGAGTGTGGCTGTTAGGAACTGGCAGTACCAGTTAACTTGTGATAAGTTCTGAAAGCAACCAAAAAATCGTAGTTCTAAGCTCGAAAACTTATGTATATTGTACTTTAAATGTTTACACTGGTCCGTAATTAAATAAACCAAAGTTTTACACATAACAGGAATGGAAGCTAACTGCGGGAAGTAGAAATTTATATACCCTTGCCGTTTATAGAAAAACCCATAATTTGTTATAAACAATACCAAGTTTATATTTATTTAAAAAAGATCGTAAAGTTCCATTTATATTATAAACAAATTAACATATTTTCGTCAACAATTCGAAGGCACCAGTGCCATTTCGCACCGGCAGACCCACCATCAGGCGACTGGACGGCGAGTTTAGCTCATCCGGCCGACCGAAACCGGCTGCGCTTCTCAGGAACTGCAGACTGGACTCGAAGGACATCTGTTGCAGGGGCGAAGATGAGTGCTCCATTCCCTTTCTGGACAGCGGCTGGAAGGTGCCGTCGAAGGTCATGTAATCCGCGATTAACGACAAATGCCGACGATCAACCGTGATGCCGTAGACCTTGAACACGTTGCTCACTTCCTTGACAATCACCTGGGAGGCAGCCTCAATGCCGTACGTCCTGGCTATGGCATGGATATCGTTGGAGTACAACCTATTCAGATCGAGAATCTTATTGTACTGGAACATCTCGCCGATGTTGATGCCGTCTGTTTTTAGCAGCTGCTCATCGGCGCTGCCCTTGTAAATGATGGCTCGCTTGATGTGTTGCACCTGGTGGACCACACTCTTGCCCGCCAGCTCGCGGATGATGGAGGTCAGATCGGGCTTCTGGTAGCGAACGCTCAGATTCAGCTTGACCTGGCACCACAGATGGCTCTCCTTGTCGTAGGTGTAGCCCTTGACCATTTCGTTGCTCAACAACTTCTCCACGGACTTGTCATCGCCATCGGCGTTCTCGTTACCATCCAGACCCTTCTCATCGTCCTCCTGATCGTCTGCCTCTTCATCATCCGCTGGAAAGCAAGGGAAATAGTTAGAAACTGGATTAAGAGAGCTTGATCTCTGCTTACCATTGGCATCTTCTAGTTCTTCAACATCATCTGGGTCATCATAGTCCCTGTCATCGGTCTTGCGCTGCTTCAACTTGACGCCAGTTGCATCGTCATCGCCCTGTTCCAGAGTAAAATATGTTTTATAAGGGTTGATATGAAGTTGTGGGTTTACATACATTATCGTCCGAAGAGTCGCCATCATCATCTCTGGCTTTACGACCACCGCCACCACCCGCCTCGTCACCATTGTCCAGATCATTATCCTCGTTTTCTGCGTCCTTTTTGTCATCCAACACAACTCTGGAAATATGAAAATTAATTTTAAAAGAGGTTCTTTAAGTTTTGTCTTTTTATACCCTTGCAGGGTATTATAATTGCAGTCAGAAGTTTGCAACGCAATGAAGGAGACGTTTCCGACCCTATAAAGTATATATATTCTTCATCAGCATCAACAGGGGAATCTTTCTAGATATGTCCGGAAGAAATCGATTTTTTGGCCATTTTTGAAAAATTTCATAAGGGGTTACATCATTAAAATTTTGGATTTTGATAAAAAATTGAATTTTCAAAATTTTTAAATAAAGTATGCAGATTTATAAACTGTAGAAAATCTTGCTCAGAACAGTTTTCCGATTTAAAATTAATGCTCTTTTGGCCGAATTATGATATTTTTAATTTTAAAAAAATCAAGAAGTTGTTTAATATAAAAAATCCGATTTTATAATACAAAATAATATTTTTCTAAGTGAAGGAATCATTTCCGACCCCATAAACCATATATATTCTTGATCAGCATCAATAGGGGAATCTTTCTAGACATGTCCGGAAGAAATCGATTTTTTGGTCATTTTTGAAAAATTTTATAAGGGGTTACATCATTAAAATTTGCAAAAATGCCCAAAAATTTTGATTTCTTAAAATTTTAAATTTGGTATGCAGTTTTTTTTAATTAATAAAAACTAACACAAAACTGCTTTCCGAATCGAAATTAATGCATTTTTGGTTAGTTATGATATATTTTAATTGTTACCTGCAAGTGTATACAAACTTTGGCTGGCCAAAGTTAGCTTTCTTTCTTGTTTACTTACATTTTCGTTGTCTTTTTGGCATTGGATATTTTCAGAATGGCCCGAATTAGTTGCTTGAAAAACGTTTGGTGCATGTATTTTATAATCTGCTTAGGCCGCACCCCGTAGTCTTCTTTGTAGACGGCTCTGGGCAGGAATTGGAAGCGCATCTCGTACTCGTAGGCCCGTTCCGGCTCTAGGGCCAAGCTGGTGCTTATGTGAACAGCTAAAATTGAAATCATTTACTCTACATAAACACATAAATATATTCCGAATTAAACGTACACTCCAAGAGATTCGCCAGAGTCACACAGTTCAGATTGACGCGCAGCTTCTCCGCCTGGGCCTGCTGGCCCGGTAGAATGGGTATGTCCATCGAGGGAGTCTTGATGTTCGAGGAGGCCAGCATTAGAATTTCTCGCAGACGCGGTATACCCAGGGTCACGTTCATCTCACCACGACCGGCGAAATGGAAGGTATTCAGTGTCATCTGTGTGGAGGGTTCACCGATCGACTGGGCTGCTATCAGACCCACAGGCTCACCGGGCGAGGCCAACGCCTTGATAGTCTTCACTCGCATAATATCCGCTATGTTTTCCTTTTGGCTGGGATTCCTCTTGGCATAATCGGTAATCAATTTGCTCGTTTTCTCCGACACACTGCCATAGTACAGATCCTGCTTGTAGACGGCCACCGAGGGATCCGGACAGCGGGCGTACTTCTTGCGATACAGGGCCTTGTCCTCGGCGTCTGCTTTCTTCCATAGCTTGATCAGACCCTCGTCAAAGCGGCGCCGTCCTGTCTTGGCGTTTATCTCATTCGGTCGCTTCACCTCCACCTCATCGCGCAGCTCCTCGGAGAAGTGTGTAAAGGCGGCACGCAGCTTGCCCGGCTTCTTCTTCTGCCAGCTGCGAATGTGCTTCTCATGGCGCTGGACTTTGGCCAGGGTCTCCTCGTCCTTCATCAACTGCAGCTGACTGGGTCGCAAAATAGCCGTGGCATTTTGTGTTAGGAAATCAGCGCAGAATTTGTCATTGAAGAACTTGGATTTAAGAATATCCAGGCCATCCTCGCCGTAAAGGAACTGCACCACGCTGTTGTCACTGTCACGCACAGTGAGATCGTAATGAACACTCAGGCCTTCCAAGTGCTTGATGAGGCAGCGCTGCAGGTAACCGGAACGCGAAGTCTTCACAGCAGTATCAATGAGACCCTAAGGATTATAGAAATACAAATTAAATACAGTTTGCTGGCATGGTAAACCCACTTCAAAACCTACTTCACGACCAGCCATGCAATGGAAGAAAAAGTCCTGCGGCTGTATGCCCGTCATGAAACGTCCATCAATGAAGCCTCCCGACTTGGGTGACGTCTCAAAGGATGTAAAGCTGGGCAGTGACTTGCCCGATATCATCAAAGGCGGCCGCTTGCCCTCCAACTCAATCTGTCCCAGTAGACAGGAGATCTGCATGGTATTCACCATGGATCCTTTGGCACCAGACAGCACCATCAGCTGGAGGTTGTTCGACGGAAACTTGGTGATCAGGCCACCAGGCAGGCATGTTCTGGGAATAAGATGATCTTGATGAGTTTCCCACTTGGTTTTTATATCCAGAAACTCACTTATTTATGTCATTTGTGTAGCCATCCAACAGCGACTTGTATTTGCGATCCAATAGCACTCGGAATTTGGTGTCCTTCACATAGGCCTCCTCCATTTTCTCCACCAGCTCGTCGTGCGGCGGTTCCTCCTCGAGATCGAGGGCCGAGGCCACGGCACTATTTCCCACACCGCGACACTCTCGGATGATCTTTCTCCTCTTTCGATCCGCCTCGTCCGTCACAAGGATATCCTTGACGCCCAGGGTAAAGCCTTCCAGCTGCAGGAAGAATGTGAATACCTTGGTGAAGGCTGTAAGCAGGCGGGTAGACACATCGCCGCCATACAGCTCGTACATGCAATGGATCAGGCCAAAAGTGGTGGCTCCGTATTGCTGCTTGTCCAGCACCCCGACGAGCAGTTCACCCTTTCTAATTTGCACCTGGCTCTCGGCCAGCTCGTTTTCTTGCGGATTGGAGCCACACAGAGCAGGGCGTGGACGGCTCACATTCCAGTTCTGCAAGGGACGGGGAGTAACTACAATATGGGAATCTGTAATCTATCATTATTGCCCAACTTACCTTGCCACCTATCTTGGCAAACGAATCCAGATTTATTTTTTCATAGCCCTCGGGTATCAGGTTGATAATAATAGTGGACAGGATCTGCTTTCCAGACCAAAGCTTGGCAGGCTTAACGATGGCCGGCGGCAGCAGCTTGACATTCTTCTTGAGGTGGGACAGGCCCTGGAACACCAGTTGCTGGTAGTCCTCTCGGTTGAAAAAGCGGCCCCGTATGGAGAGTTTTACGCCCGAAATAACGTGATCCTGAATGAGTCCGCCCAGCGGTGTGCCATCCTTGGGCACCAGGTAGTTGTTGGCCACATTCACCAGGTTGTAGGCCTCGGCCCTGGCCACCTCACTCTGCGGATAGTGGGCGTTCATCTCGTCACCATCGAAATCGGCGTTGTACGCCTTGCAGTTGGAGTAGTGCAGGCGGAAGGTCTTCTCGCCGTGCAAAATCCGGGCCTTGTGCGCCATAATAGAGGGTTTGTGCAGCGAGGGCTGACGATTGAGGAGCAACACATCTCCGTTGAGCACATGTCGATGGACAATCTTCACTCCATCCTTCGGATTCGAGAGCAGCAGTTTGGCCATGCTTTCACGCTTGGCTGCATTGTCGCCGGGTATGAAGGTGGTGAAACCATTCTTGTCCTGAATATAGTTCGCTCCCGGGTGCACGTCCGGTCCATTCATCACCATTTTGCGCAGCTCCGTAACATTCCATTCGGTCACTGGTACGGGATACGAGAGTTTCCTGGCAAATATATCCGGAATGCCAATCTCATCTACGTTTATGTTGGGATCCGGCGTGATGACAGTACGGGCGGCGTAGTTCACGCGCTTGCCCATCATATGCTTGCGAATGAGACCCTCCTTCTTCTCCAGAACCTGCTTCAGACCCTCAGCGGACTTCATCTCTCGGGACATGTTTACGTCGAGCAGCACATCCACCGAGGTCTGCAGTGCCAGCCAGGCATTGTACAGCTTTTCGTGGGCATTGCCGCCCTTTAGGTTCTCAAAGGCGGCCAGGGCCTCGGCCGAGAGCTTCTCCTGATTGCCCTTCATGTACTTGAGCACCACGTTCAGCACATGGTTGTTCTCGATAATGTGGATGTAGATATCCGTTTGGGGATTGCCCTTTAGCATGTCCCCGACCATATTCATGGGACGAGCACGCGGCGGCGTCACTGGTAAAGTGTCCATAAAGAATAGATCCACCGGCGAGCGATCGCCGTCCGTTGCATCCGTGTTGCTAAGGTTCAAAACGGGGACTAGGAGCTTTAATAACTCGGGATAATTGGCGTAAATCTGGCGCAGATAGCGACGACATTCGTCCGCAAAGATCACCTTGTTCTGGCCACCAGCCTCGGTGGCACCACCAACACTGAGGGATGAAAAAAAGAAGAGAAAGATGTTGAAGAATATCTTTACCGATGACAGCTTGTTCTTACCGCTCCTTAATGTCCGCCAGAGTGACATAGAAAACCAGCCTCCGGTGCATATAACGCACGGAACGCATGGATTTGTTGCAATGCCTGCACTTCTTGCCCGCCCGCTGGAGCGCCGCATGGGTGACAGCTGTGCGCAGGGAGCAGCTCGTCTTGGTGGAGTTGCTAAAGTTCTTCTCGTTCTTGGCCAGCAGATCGTACATGGCAGCAATAGTTGGGTGAACCAGATCGCCATTCTTCAAGGTCACCATCTCCTCGGTGTTCTGGCACACAATCTCCGACTTGAAGAGCTCCAGCTCCTGGGCCTCGATGATATAGCCTGCATCGATGAGGCGCAACTGCAGCATGATGATCTCGCACTCGTGGTCTGCCAAAGGACAACTGTTAGCCAGCACTAAGGCTTATGTATCAGCAAATACTTACCCTTCATCTGCAGCTTGTAGCAGTGGAGGCAGAAGATGCAGAGCAGACGCTGCACCAGCTTAATGAAGAACGGATTGTACACGGGCGTGCCGAGCTCAATGTGACCCATGTGGCCCGGACAGTCCTGCATCTTTAGGCAGGTGCCGCACGGGTCCATGCACCGGCCATAAGAGCCCATCCGTATGTCGTACAGGCCACCGGGCATGGCGTGTCCCAGGGCATCGAACGTAATGCCCGTGATCACTTTCACCACACTCAGTTTTCGAATCTCCTGGTCGGTGAACACTGCAAACTCCAAGTCCGAGGGGAACATGTGCACGTCCATCGGCCGCCTGGAACCCATTTTGAAGGGTTTTAAAGACACTTTTTGTTATAAATCAAAGAAAAATAGGAGCGCAACAAGCGCACACGTGTTGGGCTATTAGAGGTGGAAGAAGTATCGATTCCTAAGAGCGAGAACTAGTCTATCGAAAATTGTTATCGCTTCCATGGGCTCATCTCCAGCAAAACAGCTGATCTCATTTTGTTGACAAAAATTGTTTTTCCCAGAAATTGTTTAAAAATGCTAACTTCCATGGTTAAAGAACACCACAAGGAGCAGGTGAAGCGAAAGCAAGAGCAGGGTATGCGATTCTCTAGACTTTTCTTTTCAAACAGTTAATTTCTGTGTTATTCTACCAGAGGTGCGTAGAAAGGAGGCTATTGAAGCCTCTAATGAGCTCACCCAGTCCCTGGTAGACACCCTGAATGTGGGGGTAGCCCAGGCCTATCTGAACCAGAAGCGCCTAGATGCCGAGGCCAAGCAGCTTCATATGGGAGCCACCAATTTCGCCAAGCAGACGCATCAGTGGCTCCAGCTTATTGACAACTTCAGCAGCGCCCTGAAGGAGCTGGGCGATGTGGAAAACTGGGCCCGGAGCATTGAGGGAGATATGCATGTGATAAATCAGAGCCTGGAGCTAGCTTACAAGGCATCGCGAGCAACCCAGGCTACGGGAGTAGCAGCAGCAGCTGGCGCAGAGGCCTCCACTTCTGCGGGGAAATAATAACCATAAGCTATATTAAGTTTTTTCAATTAAAAACTAGTTTTCATTAATTTTATTTTAAACTTAAATTGAAGATTTTGCTTTTCTTAATTATGGATTCATTGTCCCTTGACCAAAGCCTAATAAAAGTCTCTCTAAATTACCAACAACTTCCCGTGGTTGTCATCAAATGGATTATTATATTTTATTTTGTACTCGCTGCACAGTTGTGTATAATTAATTTTAATTTAGTTATATTATCATTATCATATCTGCTGCTTTTCCTTTTAAAATTCATATCACAATATGTGCGGCCGCCAACGGTAGTGGTAACATTGAAGGGGTAAGTAGTCGGGCCGCACACGCCGGGGGGCGGGCATCTGAATGTAAAGATGGTAATTCCTATCTGACGAGTACAAACTTTTCTTTTGTACAGCAGCAACGATAATGGTCAACGCAATACATAGTTAAAAATAGCCTAAGAGTGAGATGGGATACAGTCTATCAGTCGTATGCTCCTGTGCAGGTCTTTCTCCCGACGCAATCCAGCTGGGCCGAGATCAGCGCCTGAGTTTAGGAAGTAGCCAGCTAATAGCGCGATGTCATGCGACCTGAGTGAGATGAAAACAAAGGGTTGATGCTGGATTACTGATCACACTGAGAAATGCAATCATGTTCTTACGGTAAGGATGAGAACGAGAACGGGAACGTGAACGGCTACGCACGTAGCGAGAGCGACTGTGGCTCTTGCGGGAGCCGCGGGTATGGCGATCGCTGTGGTAAGTGTTTCGCTGACGATAGTTGTCATTCGGTGAGGCTGTGCGATCACGATCGCGGCGTCGCTGGCCGCTGTAGGAAATTCGTTATTAAAAGGAGAGTTCTTATCAGTATACAGGAAAAAGGATGCTTACCGGGATGGACGGCCCATGTAGACGCCCGGAGTGGGAGTGTGGGCACGCTGGGTTATCGAGTAGTCAACGCGAATGCGACGACCATCCACATCTATGCCGGAACAGGCGTCCTTGGCCACCTTGGCATCTTTGAGATTTTCAAAGTAAATGAAGCAAAAGCCACGCGAACGTTGAGTCTGAGAATTTAGGAAAAAAATTATAATAATGAAGAGTACAACTCTTTTTTATACCCTTGCAGGGTATTATAATTTCAGTCAGAAGTTTGCAACGCAGTGAAGGAGACCTTTCCGACCCTATAAAGTATATATATTCTTGATCAGCATCAACATGCGAATCTTTCTAGGTATGTCAGGAAGAAATCGATTTTTTGGCCATTTTTGCAACATTTTATAAGGGGTTACATCATTAAAATTTTTGATTTTGATAAAAAATTGAATTTTCAAAATTTTTAAATGAAGTATGCAGATTTATTAACTGTAGAAAATCTTGCACAGAACAGTTTTCCGATTTAAAATTAATGCTCTTTTGGCCGAGTTATGATATTTTCAATTTAAAACAAAATCAAGAAGTTTTTTAATATAAAAAATCCGATTTTATAATACAAAATAATATTTTTCTAAGTCAAGGAATCATTTTCGACCCCATAAACCATATATATTCTTGATCAGCATCAACAGGGGAATCTTTCTAGACATGTCCGGAAGAAATCGATTTTTTGGCCATTTTTGCGAAATTTGATAAGGGGTTACATCATTAAAATTAGCAAAAATGACCAAAAAATTTGATTTCTGGAAATTTTAAATTTTGTATGCAGATTTTTTAAATTAATAAAAACTAACACAAAACTGCTTTCCGAATCGAAATTAATGCATTTTTGGCTTAGTTATGATATATTTTAATTGCTACCTGCAAGGGTATGCAAACTTTGGCTGGCCAAAGTTAGCTTTCTTTCTTGTTTAAATTGTGAAAGCAAGCCTTTAGCTCTTAGTTTCGAATGCACAAGAGCTCATAATTGCTGTCTACTTTAATATAGCCAGTAAATTCTGGTCGGAACCACCAGTCTCTAAGCAGTTCGGCCCATTTAAATGTATCCTGGCACAATACATAAAGCCCCCTTGGTGACCCCCCCACTTACGTGAGCATCGATGACCATCTGGATGCGCTCGATAGGTCCAAACTTGTTGAACAGCTCGCGTACCTTGTGCTGCGTGGTATTGGTATTCAGTCCGAAGACTCCAATGCAACGGCTGGCCTGGGGGCGATCCTGGGAAGGGATAGATTAATCATTGATATGGCTTTAGCTGCGGGATGGCTCCGGCTAACTTACGCGAGCCTCGTACATCCGCTCGCGGTCGCGGGATGTGCGTCCGGAATAATGGCGAGCAACCGGAGCCGATGACTGGAACTGCGAGCGCGAACGGGAGCGGGAACGGGAACGGGAACGAGAGCGGCGACGCGAGCCCGAGTTCTGATGGTGACGACTTTCATAGTAACTCCCGTCCGACCTTGTATGGAATGGAATAGGATTAGATTCTCTTCGAGTGGTGTTTCTTGCGTGCCTCTAAACTGAGCTGGCAGGTGAAAAAGTTTGTCTGGGTTCGTGTGGCTTGATGTGTTTTCAATTCAATTCAAGTTTCGGGCCTATTCTTGGGCTGTTAAACGCTTCAAGTGGATTCTTACATATCGAGGAGCTTCTTTTTCTTTTCTTCTTCAAGGAAAGGGAATCTTCTTTACAGATCGTCGAGCAGGAGGAAAATGGAAACTTTTTGAGCACCCAACTTTCTCGTTTGAAGGAAAACCCGAAATGAAAGGGACCACAATGACAGTTAAATACATTTGTTTGATTTTCTGTTTTCCCCAAAGGATTGCCACTCTCCAGCCACCGGATGTCAAAAAGTAAAGGGGTAGGGGGTCACACTACGTATGTACATATGTATGTACGTTGTTATGTAGGTGTACTTACCGTCGGTCCTTGTGTCCGGATGAAGGAGTAGTCGCCGGCGAGAAGGACGCTGACCGCTTGAAGCTACTTCTGCAATCAAATCTCTTAACCATACTGTGCCGGTTTTGAGGTCCATTTTGCTCACCTGTCGTATTTGCTAGGCAAATAGCGTCTCTCGTGGGGGGAACGCGACAACTTTGTTGCGGGAAAACTATCATTACTGCCAGCACGCCTTGACAAAGCACTCTACTCACCATCTTTGGGTTTGGTTTCTTGCTACAATATTACACAGCCGACAGTGTTTAATAGTTAAAATTAAGATTATTAAGAGTTGTTTATGCGATTGCACGCACGCTTCGTGTGTTATCGTCCGATTGGCGACGCCGATTGTTATCGATTGGCCCTTTAACCCTTGTGTGTTCAATGTGGTCGATTCGGCGGCGTTATTTGAATAGTATATTCTGCGATGTTACAAATAAGAAGTAAGATATGTAAAATGTGATTTATTTAATATAAAATAATATTGTTAAATTTTGTAGTTTTAAGTCAAATATTAAGTAAATTATTGTGAACTAGCGCACTAATTTTAAATTTGAATCGTTAGAAAAACACAAATTAATGTTTGTTACTTTTTTAGAAAACATATATTTTGTACAAGTTAAAGCTAAATCACAGGGTTAGTCAAGAACTACGTGTGATACCGTTTGAACCACATATTCTTCACCATAACATAGTTATAAAGCCGCTGCTGTTCCAGGTGATGCAGATCTGAAATGGTCTTGACGACTCGCTCGTCGTTGAAATGGCTCTTAGGCGGTGCCTCCAGCAGGTTGCCAGTGGTAAACCACTTTAGCTCAGCGAAGTGCTTCTTCACGCTGGCCCGCAGAGCAGCACCACTGAACACTGGCTTCCGGTACAGGTCGAACATGTTTTTTTTGCCATATTTCTGGTGGATCTCATCCACGGTTTTGTCCAATTCTGGCTGTTTGCAGTGGTATATGACCCAGAGTTTGCGCTCCGGAGCCCGCAAGTCGGTCAAGCTGAGCACGCCGAAGAACTCCACAATATAGGGTTTGCATTTGGGTGATTCCCCTTTCGGTTTTATATAGAAAAGGCGCCTCAAGTGGTCGTCGATCTCCGACTCTAGGTCATAGTCAGCTTCTGTTAAAAGAGGTATTAATCATCAGCATTAAGGAACTTTAATGAATTTGATAATTTATTTTACCTGAGCTCTTGTCTTCGATGGCTTTGGCTGTCATGTTGTGTTCTATTCTATAAGGTACTTCGTAGATGGATTCTTACTTTTAAATGTTACCAAATTTATAAAGCAATTTACTTAAATAGCCCAAAAATTACAATTTCAACTGGCAGGCAATATTAAGCTTTAGGTTTGTTTACGATTTCCAATTTCACAATAAAGAAAATAAAGCTTTTCACGGCAACTGCTGGCTATCGATAAGCGCAGAGCTTTTTAGTTTATTTATTTACATTTTTAATGTCAGCGGGGGGGAGGTTTTTGGTCGTTATAGCGCCTAAACCAATCGTGCTGGACCATTATATAGTCAAAGAGCCTTCTCTGCTCCTTATTGTGCAAATCACCAACGTCCTTAAGGACGCGCTCATCATTATAGTGGCTTTTCTCCGGGGCCTCCAATAGATTTCCTTCCGTGATCCACTTTAAGTTGGAAAAGTGCCTTTTTACAATACTCCGGAAACCAACTCCACTATATATGGGCTTTTGATATATTTCCCATACGTTCTTCTTTCCATATTTCTGTCGTATCTTGTCCCCCACTTGGAGAATTTCCGGTTGTGAGCAGCTGTATATATGCCAAAGTCTTCGGTCTGGAGCCAGTGGATCTCTAACACTAAATACTCCAAAGTAGTCCAGCTCAGAAAGGTCCAAAGCAGTGGGTTCTGACAATGGTTGAAGATAGAAAAGACGCCTCCAGTACTTTTCCAGTTTGTCCTCTAATTTCATTTGTTTTCCCTCTGAAAATAAAACAAACTAAAGGTATAAGTGTCAACCGATATGATGATTCATTGGCTTTACCCATTGATAAACTTGCGTTGCCCTGCGTGACTTCTAACCGCTAACAACTTTGCCACAACACTGTTTAAAATTCATTCGCAGTCTTTTATTTATAGCTACTTCTTAAATAATTTTCTCCTCTCAGACTTGATTTAGTTGAACAGAACTGTACTTCTTAAATAAAGCACTCCTTTCATAGAGGTAATCGTAGTACCTTCGTCTTTCGGCCTGGTACAGATCCGCGACTGTGTTCACCACCTTCTCGTCGTTGTAGCAGCTTTCCGAAGATGCTTCCAAGATATTCCCCTTGACGTACCACTTAAGGCCGGAAAAGTGATTCTTAACACGGGACCGCATTCCTGCTCCCGAAAAAACGGGCTTCCGGAAGAGTTCATACATATTTTTTTGACCATATTTGCGGTGTATTCGATCTATAGTTTCATCCAACTGAGTTGTTGTGGCATAGTACATGTACCACAGCTTTCGCCGTGGAGCTCGAACGTCAGTTAAACTGAGGATTCCAAAGTACTCCACTTCCTTGGAATCGTATTCATTCTTTGTGCCGAATCCTTTGTCCTGAAAGCCGAAGGCTCTTCGCATGTACGTGTCTAGACGCTTTTCTAGGTCTGGGTATGCAGCTGCAAATCAGAATATTTTATTAATAGGTTTAATATTTATTAAAAATTTACATTTATTCTTACAGTTGGCCGTCCAAATAGTACCTTCGATAGATGCGGTCATTTCTAGGGGGTTGTATTTAATAAAAATTTGTATTTCCCTCGTCGGCTTTTATACTTTTTTGTTTATTTCATTAGAGCTTTTCCATTTCGCCAACAGATAAATTAGCTTTAGACAACAAAAGCTTTTAGAAATAATGAAATATTAAAGAATATTACAAAACGTTACTTTCTTAATAGTACTTAATCCGCTTTAGACTGCTTAATTATGCATTTATATATATGTAATTATATGACTTAAAATGGTCATTTCTCAGCATCAAGTAATCGTAGTACTTCCGTTTCTCGGTCTCATACAGATCCGCGACTGTGTTTACCACCTTCTCATCATTGTAACAGCTACTGGGAGGCGCTTCTAAGATATTTCCCTTGACGTACCATTTAAGGCCGGAAAAGTGATTCTTAACCCGGGATCGCATACCGGCTCCCGTGTAAACTGGCTTTCGGAACAGCTCGTACATATTCTTTTGGCCATATTTGCGGTGGATCCGATCTACTGTGTTGTCCAACTGATCCATTGTCGCATAGTACATGTACCACAGCTTCCGGCGGGGAGCTCGAACATCGGTTAGACTGAGAATTCCGAAATACTCCACATCCTTGGAATCGTACTCATTTCTGGCTTCGGTTTTTGGCTTATAAATGCAGAAAACCCTTCGCATATATGTCTCAAGTCGCATTTCCAAGTCTGCATATGCGGCTAGAAGTAGGCAATATTAATATTCAACAGAATGCACAATCTGTATTCAACTTACAGTTGGGAGTTGCTATTGCTTCTTCGGTAGATGTTGAGGTTGTCATTGTGGAATGGCTTGAATTGAAATTAATTTGGTGCTTTCCCCGGCCCGCTTTTATACTTGCAACTTGTTTAAATTTCGGTGAAGCTTTGCCATTTCGCAACGAGCTAAAATAGGTTTAGCAGCTAAAGCTTTACAATTGGAATAGGGAGGAAAACTTATCGACAAAAAAACTCAAGAAAGAATGTTGGAGAGGTTTATCAATATTTAATTTAAATTTTAATTATTATACTTTATTTATTAAAAAAAAAAAAACACCTAGTGCTAGGATTGTTTTGATTAGAAAACTAATAACCTTACGCTTAAGGTTTTCATCATATGCAACAAAAAAATATACATATATTAGTTATATGGATTGAATTCAATTTTTTTCAGATAATATACCAAATATTAAATATATGTAATATACACTTTAGAAACTCACTCAAGGAATTAAATATTATCCATTTATTTCCCGATTTATTACACAATGGTGCGAATGGTTTAACTTTTAATTCTTCATAATAAAATTACAAAATTCTGGTCTTGCGTTCAACGAAATAATTAATTCAACGTAGCTTTTAACTCTGTTAAAGTAACTTAAAATACTTTCCATCTGGTTCAAGGTTGACGTTTCCGCTATATTATCGCCTCCGAGGAGTCATCCAGTTCACCCTTGATCTCTGCTCCAATGGGTGCCACCACGTTGTTCGAATCGGGCAGGATGCTCTCCTCCACATGCGAGGCTTGATTAATAATAAACACATTCGGGTTGGTCGTACGCGTCAAGTTTGGTGCGACTATGGGTACCGAGCTAACGCTGCGAGCAGAAACCGCAGTCGCAGTTGGTTTAACAGGCGCAGGACCTCGCGTAGCAGGCGTCTTACTGATAGGTCGAGGACCTGCAGCAGGCCCTCGGTTAGCAGGAGATGCTGCCTTGCCCACTGGCGCATTTGTTGGCCTAACTTTGGCCCCGGCCTTAATCGCAATAATACTACCCTTTACTGCCGATCTCTGTGGAGTCTTCCTAACGGTGATCATCTAAAAAAATGAGAATTATTCAATAAATTTATTATTCAATTATTACAATAATTTGTGGCCTTTAACGTACCTGCCGTTGACTTGCTTTTACGGTTTTGTTGTCTATTTCCACAAATCTAGAACCTGCGCTCGCTGCTGCTGCCGCTGATGACGATGTAGATGCTGCTAGCGGAGTGCTGGTAGCCGCGGGAGCAGAACCTGGAGCAGTTTTTCGTCTGGGGGTCGCAACATTGGCTTTTAAATTCGGAGAAGTGACGTTCTTGAAGCCAATGACATTTCTTGCCATATCATACACGGGTTTCCGGATCACTACTGCCTCTGGCTGCGGTATGGCAGGGGGAGGAGGTAGAGGAGACACGGTAGCGCTGCTGGTGGCCTTGTTCACATAGTGCACATAGTTCTCCAGCAGCTTGGTGCCCACATCCACGTCGATTGGCATTAGGCTGCTGGTCTTCACCATTTCCTCGATGGTGCGCTGTCGCTCGGCAACCGTCAAATTGGCCACTCGCCGACTAAGGGCTTGAAGGACTAAATCGAACACCTGAACCCGCGTCTGCAGCTCTGTGCGCTGCTGGTCTGCCGGGCAGAGAATCGGCAATTGGATGAGTGACAGCGGCAGACTGGCCGCCATCGACTCGCTAGCTGTTGGCGGCGGTACCGGTGCCCCAGGAGGCAGTACCTTCTTGGTCAGTGTGGTTCCGCGTGGCAGCTGCTTGGTCAGCGAGTCAATAGATGATGCGGGAACAGCAGGGGTACGTGTGCTGGACGATGTTGCCATAGGTGGGGCAGCTGGTTGACGGAGCGGAGCCGCAGGCAGACTCTGCGGTATCGGCACGGGCGATGCCGAAGCAGCCAGAGCCGGAGGATCAGGAATAGTAGTGCTTCGTTCACTGGAACTTAGCTCCTTATCTTTGCCCAGCAGCTCCAGCTTGGCACGCACCTTATTCGGGATATTCTTGTCCGCCTTAGATATGAACTTGGTGGTGATGACCAGGAACTGCGGCATCTCCAGCACTGGCGCCTCAACCTTGGCATGCAGGCGCGTCGGATCAATGGCCGGCATCGGTCCATCTAGATTCGGACAGCAGAAATCCAGGCCCACTTCGCCGTAATTTCCCGAATGGCGATTTGGGTAAAGAAACGAAAACATCTTCGTGTGGCCAAAGGAGTTTGCGGTGTTACCGGCTGCATTCGCCGAGGGAATTTCATTGGGCACAGGATGCTCAGCGGAAGTAGAAGCACTCATCACTGGCGGTGTACCCTCTGCAACCAGCGGTGCTTGCGGCACAGGTGGAGCACCATCCAAAGGCACTGCTTCTTGACAATCCCCTTCCATGGGCTCTGGTGGATTATCTTCGGGCTCTGATTTCACTTCCGCCACTGCAATGGGTACTGGTAGTGGCATGGGTAGGGTGGTGTTTATCCGAACCTTCTTTAAAGCGGCCAGCCTTCGGGCATCCTCCAAAGGTATCACCTCTTTCGGAACTTTTTCTGCATTCAAGGGAGGAACAACCAGGGTTTCTATGGGTTCTGAAGCTGGCACTGGTGCAGGAGGGGTGGGTGGTACAGATGGAAGCGGTGGTGTCGAGGCAAGTGGAGCCAAAGCAGGTGGTGCAGGAGCAGTTGTTACAAGGGCAGGTGTTACAGGAGCACCTGTTACAGGAGCTGCTGTTACAGCAGCAGGTGCTGCAGGAGCAGGTTTTACAGAAGCAGGTGGAGCAGGAGCAGGTTGTACAGAAGCCAGTGCTGCAGGAGCAGAGGTTACCGAAATCTGTGCCAGTACTGTTGAAGCTGCTTTTTTTGTTGCTACAACCGGAGGAGGCACCACAATACCTCGAATCGGCACCAATGGCGGTACTGGTGGCATCAAAGCAGCCACCGGCGGTTCTGGACAAGAACTATTAATCGATTCTGACATTGATTCCGCCGCCGACTCTGTGTCAGAAGCCATATCATCTGCTGGCGCTGGTGTCCTCTTAGGTAATTCCTGACGTTCCTTCCGTTGGTCCTTCAGCCATTGGCTGACCACATGCCGATTAACTCTGATGCGAAGTTTACGAGGCTTTTTAACTTCCGGAATTGGTTTTTGGGAAACCAGTGATGCCTTCGAGCCACTTGGCACTGGCTGTGCCAAACCGACAGCTGTTATTTTCACGGGAAAAGCCAAGGATTGGTGCTCCTGGTCAGGACCTTCTTCTTGTTGCTGCTGTTGATCCTCTTTGGGTCGCTTGGGCATGCTCGCTTCGGCCGCTTCTAGAGCCTTTCGTTTCGTTGCGGCTGAAATTCGCGCAAAGCGTCCATTTTTACGAATTCTGTTCGGTGGTAGCGTTTGGGTTGTGGGTAATGTAATAAGGGAACCAGTTTGCTGCTCTTGATTTAAAGGAGTCGGTGTTGGAGCCAAGGATCTGCTGCTGCTTGCAGCTCGGGTCATGTGAATTGACTTGGCAATGCTTACGGTGCGCGGAGTAACGGCCACAGTGGGTTTCTCCATGCGAGATGTGGCACTAGACTCTTTCCGCTGCTCAGCTATGCCTGTCTCGCTATCCTTGGCCACCGCTACGACTGGAGTATCGGCAGCAACTTCCTCCGATTCAGGCGATTCCAATTTCTGCTGTTCCGATTCCTTGGCCAGTGGTACCTTCCGACCAAGTGAAGCCCCCTCAGATTTACGGGTCTCAGTTTTCTTGGCTGCTTCCGCTTTTAGTGGAGCTTTGCGAGAGTTCAATGACTGGCCCTCCGACTTTCTGGTTTCTGTCTTTTTGGGCACCTCCACTGGGAGCGATTTTCTGGCTGGAGCATCCATTTTTTTTGCTGTATTATCCACAGCCACTGTCGGTTTTGGAATCACTTTCGGTTTGTTTTTATCCAAGGCGGTTACAGCTGGAGTCTCTGGGTCAACTTTCTTTTTTGCCTCCGATTTACGGACCGTCTTTTGTGCCTCCACCAACTGCACTTTTCGGGGCAAAACCGGTGATGTCTCCAGAGATTTACTCAAAGAAGAAGTACTTGCCAAACTGTCCTTAGAAGGAACCAGTGAAACGGATATATTAACTTTTCTGGGAGCAATCACCGTCGATTTATCTTCTTTAGTGGGAGATTCACTTTTCTTACTGGCTGGCAGCACGGCCTTCTTAGTGACAACAAGGGAGCTGTTGAGGGTCGGCTGGCTCTTGGCCTTGCTCGCTTCGACTTCAGACTTGCCCAGAGATTTGCGGCCAGAAACAGGCAAACCCGAACCGGAATCCTCTCCCGGCAAAGGTTTGCGCAAATTGAGAGTGGAACTCAGCAGGGTCTGTACCATAGGCTTCTTGGTTGGGCTTACATCGACTTGTTTTTTGCCAGGAGCTGATATGATGACATGTTTCGTGGTCTCCGCGTAATTGCCTCCCTTCGTAGCGGCAGCAGTCCTCTTTGCCGCTTGCGATGTCTGGGGCTGATCGCTTCCGATTTCATTTGCTGGCGAGGTCATGATGGTTTCATTGCCTATCATGGATATGGTCTTGCCCCTCTCGCTAGGCTTGGAAGTTCCAGAGTCAGCTTTAGCACGTTTAATGGCTGGATGCTCCAGTTCTTCCGGTTGAAGACGGCGGCGTACTGTAAATAGGTTAAAGGGAGTAGGTTTTGAAATGTTGGTGTTATGATATGATATTTAAGTTATTAAGCTAAATTTAGGCCCCTAAAGGAATCTTCTGAATTATTTTTAAAGTACTCACAATTTTTAAAAAGTTCCTTTCTTTTCTCAATCCTCGACTTCAATGCAGTGACCAGCTTTTTTTTGGCGGCATCTAAATGACAAAAGGTAGATAAAGGGGGAAAAAAAAGATTATATTCATTAGAAATATTTCTACGTTAAAACTAATATTATATCAAAGATTGAGCTAGCTATTAACCATCTGACTGTGAGGAATCCGCTTCCCGCTTGCGCGTACCACGCTTCCCCCTGCTTTTAGTGCTGGCTTCGGGGGCGACGTCGGTGACACCTGTTGTTTCTGTTTCCATTGGATCTGGAGTTGGACTTGCAGTGGATTCGGCAGGAGCATTTTCGGGTTCTTTGGTGGGGTCTGGATCAGTGCAGTCCTCCCTAAGAGGTTCTTCTGAGGGTTCAACATCTTGGTCGATGGGAGTTTCCTCGTCGATGGGTATTTCCCTGTCGTCGGGAGTTTCCTTGCTTTTAGAAGTATCCTCGTCTTGACAAGTTTTCTCCACTTTGTGGACTTCCTCCTCTTTGTGGAATTCCTCCGCTTCGTGAGTTTCCTTCTCAATGGTATCCTCTTGATCATCGCTTCTTGATAATTTAAGGGTTTCATTCTCAGGATTTTGCATGACAGTAGTCTCTTCAGTAGATTCTTGCTCCTGAGTTATATTTTCAAGTTTCTCCTCAACATCAGTAACTTCTTCTACTGCTGTATCTTTAGGAACTTTTTCTTTAACTTCATCTATCGCCTTTTTAGGAACATCCTTTTGACCATCGCATGTAGTTTTTTCGGTTGCTTCCTTAGAAACTTCCTCTTCAACAGGATTAGGAATATTGTCAGACTTGGGAGATTCGCAGACAGGTTGGGACTCAGAGTTAGGCTGATCGGGAACTACACATTCATCTATGCTCTCCAGCATCTTATTAATTTTCTTTCGCTTGCTGGAAGGCCCTTTTTTGCGAATATTTTTACCTTTAGTCACCAAATTGGTAGTGGGAGTTCTTTTTATAAGAACCCGAAGCTTGCGACAAGGCAGGGAAGAGCTGGGAGTTTTTCGCTTAGTTTCCAAATTGCTAACCTCGTCGGAGATATTATCTTTGAGGAGTACATTTGAGGGGCTGTTGCTGCTGGTGTTTTTGTTATCCTCTGGCTTTGGTTCTGAATTCTGGGATATAGGTTCCGCTGGAATTGTTATCGAAACTGATTCAGAGTCTGTGGCTGAAGCTGAGGTCGCTGCGGCAGATTTACGTTTGTTTTTCTTGGATTTTCGCTGGGACCCAGAGGCTACCACTTCTTTTTCAGATTCCCTACTAGCAGCCGGTGGCGGTATTGGCTCTGTGTCCAGAGTTGGAGATTGGTTTTTCTTTGTTGTTTTTATTTGGGTTTTATCCGCGGTTTCGGTGGTGGATAATTCTACCATTTCGGAGGGTGTATCTACTTCAGAGTCCTCAACGGCAATAGCTTCCTTGCGCTTTTTAATCCTGCCACGTTTTACTCCTGTAACGCCGGCCTTATCTTTTAGCTCAGCCGATTCAGCCTTAGAAGGCGGCAAAATTTCATTGGAAACTGTGCGAGATATCGTTTCAACATCCACATCTTCCTCAGTATCAGTGTTGGTGGTTTCTTTGGGGTTGTTTGGCTTTTCCTTAAGGTCCTTCTCCCTTAATTCTTTTGCAATAGGATCAGGATCAGCGCTATTTGAAACTGCTTTACTCTCCAACGTGGGATTCATTTTCCTTGAACTTGCCTCTGACAAGGCCTTTTCAGGTTCAGTTTCGGGTTGATCTGTGCTATCGTCCACTCGCTGCTCTCTCATAAATTTATTTTTACGAGTTTTGGCCACACTTTTAGATTTGACACTTTTGTCCATGGAACTTTCCTTCCCTTCGGGCTTATCCTTTGTGGTTCCCCTAGCCCTGGAAGAGTGCGTCTTTGCAGGGGTTGGTGATGCCTCCGTTTTTAACTTGCCGCCACGCCTGATGTTACTTGAAATTTGTTCGTCCTGGCCAGCAGCACCATCTACTTTCGTTTCTGGATTTGAATCGCTTTCCCTTTGGCTAGTCCTCAATTGAATTTTCTCCCTTTGGACTTCTGAACTTTCGATGGGCGAATTGCTCTCCGGTTTGCCATGGTCCCATCGCGATCTGCGGGATCTAGACTTCCTGGAACTGGACGGTTTTTCATCAATATTTTCCGCTTTCGACTCGCTCGCTTTAGTTTGTTCTGCAGGCAACTCTGAAATATCACCAGCTTGGACTTCTGCTGGCTTATCTTTTTGTTCCGATTCACTGGATGTCGATTGCTCGTCAATTAACTTGGAAATGTGAGGAGGCTCTTTGGTTGGCTTTGCCATAACCTTTTTCTTTTTGCCCCTCTTCCTTGAAGGCTTCACATCCACCATTTTCGCATCAGTCTCATCAGAACTTGGCTTTTCTTCACCCAATAGCGTAGCATCTGTCACTGGTACATCCTTCACTGGATTGCTGTCTTCTGTCATACTCTTATCCTTCGATTCAATCTCAACTGTAGACGATTTAGTCTCCTTGGCTAACTGGGAGCTTTCCTGGGAGGAATGGCTTTCAGCTGGCGACCTTCCTAGCCTGGGACTGCTGCGCCTTGAGGAATCATCTTTGAGGAGAGTTAATTCACTTCGTAGCGAAAGCTTGCCACGGCTTCTGCGCGGCGTTTGCTTAGTTGGAGTGCTCTCTGGGGTACTCTGTTTGGATTCTGGCTTATCCGATCTAAGAGCTCGGCGAGCAACCAAACTTTCAGCAGCTTCTCGTAGTTCTTTGAATTTAGCTGGTGATGAGAGATTTGTTTTTTTATTTGGAGTATTTAACTTGAGAGAATCTTCAGTATCTTCAGTCATGGAGTTCTTTGTGGGTGTCTGGTCCTCTATAACAGGACGTTTTTCTTTAGCTTCTGATTGCTCTTCAATATCGGAGGGTTCTTGAACTTCGGATTCTGTCGATTGCCTTTCTTCCAGAGACTGTTCAGCTGCTAAAGATGGCCCTAAAGCGATGGATTGATCTTTAACTGGGGATTGGCTTTTCGTTGGGGATCGTGTTGGGGATTGGCCCTTAGCTGGTGATTTCTCTTTATCGGAAAGTTGTCCTTTAGCTGGGGATGGACTCTTAGCTGAGGATTGACCCTTAGCTGGGGATTGACCCCTAGTTGGAGATTTACCCTTGGCTGGGGATTGTCCTTTAACAGGCGATTGACCGGATTCTCTTTCAACTTCGGTTGGGCTTTCAGATGGAGCTAGCTCTTCCGAATTTCCAACAGCCTCCGTTACAATCTCCTGCTCCAATTCCTTGACAATATCAATGACTGGATTTTGATCTCCGACCACTGTTGCCGCCGCTTCCTCAGTCACCTCCATGCCTTTTCCCACTTCAGCAGCCAAGATCTCTTCCGCCAATTTAATGTCCTCAGCTAGCTGAGAGTCACTCTCCTCGAGCATATTTCCTGCCACCTTAGAAGAGGCGTCTAATGCATCGGCGAGTTCGGGCGTCATTGCAATGTCCCCTGCCGTTTCAATGGCATTTTCGATTTCCTCCAGGTCCTTTATGGCCATTGTTGCATCGTTGCTCTGATTATGATCCTCTTGAATTGTCTCTGGTTGTGTTACCCACTCTTTATTTTCCGCATCTTGAGACTGGGTTACACTTTCGGTTATTTCGCTGGTATCCATGGCCGTGTCAAACGATTCGGTTGATGTGTACACTGTTGATGATGGATTCTTTTTGAGATTTCGCTCTGCATCTTCTTCTATGGACGAGTTCCTGTCCGGGGCATTTTTGAGATCGGTTTCTTGGTGACATGATGACACGCTAATATCGTCCTGGGATAAAAATCCTGCAAACTCTTTGGCTTTTTCTAACTCTGAATTCAGTTCGGTCGCTTTCTGCTCTCCCAGCAAATCCTGCTCCTTGACCGCTTCTACTCCACTCGTTTCCACTATAACATCTGAATCTTTGGCCACGGGTTCATGCACATTTTCAGCACTTTTCGATTTTTGCAGGGATTTTCTGATGGTTTGTTTTTTACGGGGTCTGCCGCGTTTCCTCTTGACCAGCTCTCCCGCTTGTCCTTCTTTGGCACGACTGAGGACATTGTCCTCGTCGGTGGCAGCTCGAGTTTTACGCTGTTTCTCCCCTTGAGGGCGTCTGCGCTTGGAAAATGCTGACTCACTCCTCGACCTACGCAGCTCGGTTCCCATTGACTCGCATCCGTTGTCAAGGCGGTCGCTGGAGTAGGTGAGCTTGCGACCGTGACGACTTGCCAGATCGGAGGCTCTGCTCGGTTCTCCAGAGATCTTGGACATGGATCTGCTGCGATGCTTTGAGCCGGAACGCTTCTGATACTCGACCGAGCGTTCTACATCGATCTCCAATATCTGCTCAGCCAGGTCTTGGCTCATGCGCTGCAGCGTCTCAAGTGTAAGGCCATCATCCACTTCGAACAGTCTGCGACTGCCACTGGCACTGGTGCTAGATTTTTCCTCCAAGGAATTTGTGCTGCGGCCTGCAGATTTCGCAGGTGAGGAAAGGGAGCTGCCGGCGGCCTTCGTTGGCTCACATTCCTGGTCGCGCTCCTTCTCCTCCTGCACTTTTCCACTGGCTGCGAAACAGAAAAAGCAAAAAAAAAGTTACAAATGTAAGGCGGAAAATATTGGGATCACGGGGACGCTCATGGTTATGGAACTGTCGCCCCAATGAATGTCGGTGCACACTTACCCGCTGATCGCTCTTTAGCATGCTTAACCTGTTCGGGGGAGAGGTAGGTTTCTTTTCGCTGGAACGGGGTTTCTTAACAAAACTCTGTTTCTTATAGATCGGCGGCGCCTCTGCGCAACTGAGATTATTCAAATAAGACTGCAAGCGCTCATAGACGCTGTTCATTAACGACGACTGACTCCTCCCATTCTGCTCATTCTCCTCATCCTGCTCCCGCTGCGGCTCCTGGCCATCGTCGTCGGAAACAACAGGTGTCACGGTGTCTACACGGTTTGTGTTTTTACATATTATAAATATTATCAGAGGGTTGGCAGTATCAACTAGTCAATTACGCTGACTTACCCGCCACCGATGTGGTCCGGCTTGTGTCCGTTGATATATCGATGATTGGATCGGCGTCATCGTCCGCCGAATCGAGATCGTCGAAGAAGTCCGACTCGTATGTGTACGACGAATCGCTGTCCGAGTCATCAAAGAACTCTGTCAAATCTGTTCAAGTAAAATTAGCATTAAAATTCCAACAAAAAACAAAGGATATTAAGGATAGCGTACTTAAGGGATCCGTTTTGGGCTCGTGCTTTGGCGGCTTTAGGTCTGTCTTCTGGGCCTTCAAGATGGTCACCGCCTTGCCCTTACTGGCACTGCTGCTGCCGTTTACAGAGCTCGGCTTGCTCGGATTCTTATACTTTCCAGTGAGACTAGGAGCAGCAACAGCGGCTCCTTTGCCGGACGACGCGGTCACCGGCGGCTTCGACTTCCTGCTGGATGACTTTCCGCGGGCGCTGCTGTTGCTGCTGCTGCTGCTCCTGTACAAAGCATCACTGCGCGACTTTTTCACTCTCGCCTGCGAAGTGCTGGGCTTGGGTACAGTCAATCGCTGGGTTGAACGCATTAGGACTTGGCCTGTGGGTGAATTTGACATATGTATACCAGGATGCGGAGACTCTCGCATTTAATCGAACTTACCCAAATCGTCCACGGAATCCAACGACGAGAGCCGTTCGCGACGCTTGTTTGGCTTCGATCTGCCGATCTTCCGGTTGAACAGCGCGTCCAGAGCGTCGTTGGAGATATCGCTGGAGGAGGGGGACCGGTGACGCCTGCTTTGCGACTTGGAGCCTGCGCCTTCGCTGATATTGAGCAGGTCGTCGTCAACGGACTTGTCAAGAAATAGCTTTTGGAATATGTCCGCATCGAGGGAGGACGAGTTGCTCGAGTCTGACGAAATACGACGCCGCCGGGCGCCGGCAGACGGTCGCCCATCGGCGACTTTTATGCCTGCAAACACAGGGATCACACACACATTACGAAATACACTATTCGAGTTGCCCTTTAGAGCACTCGTGAAGATGACAATCACGCACCTGGCAGCACCAAGTCTTTGTACTCGTCGAGATATTCTATGTCTTCCATGTTATACTTTTCATGTGCGTCGTCCCAAAGTGTTCCCTGCACTGCGTCGCACTCTCATCAATAAAAGTGGGGCAAACAATGCAAAACTACTTCCGGTGCCGAGAGCCAACAATTCTTATTAAGCGTGCCCAAGCCAGCAGCTATTTTCTACTTTTTTACGGTAAAAAAAAGACTTAAATATCAAGCGAAAATGCTGCCGCCTAGAGATGTTTGCAATATCGATGTGACTATCGATAGATCGATGATTTTTAAAACGGCGATTTTTTCCCACTAAGAGAAATGACATATTTTTTAATTTTTTAAGTGTTTTTACAGTTCCTTACAGTTAAAACCCATTTGAGTGGTCCCACGACGAGGAATTCTTGCGACAAAAGAAATCGTTTCTGTACCTAACAAGTACTTATGGCTTGTAGATGTTGTTACTTAATGCTTATTCTTCGTCTGCTCCTTGTTCGTCGTTTTTCTTTTCGATTTATATATAGGTTTTACTATTTTTTGGAGCAAATTATGGTAAAATTTAAAAATGCAATGTTTTCGATGTTTTAAGTATCGATATTCATCGTGAAGATGAACGCATTTTTCCCGCGCTTCGGTGTGGGTGAAAAATCCATTTAAATAATTTAAACATAAGGCTAACTGCTATAAAGGTTCGCCACGTTGTTTCTATCTTTGCTTAATTATCAACTTTGTTTATTGTTTAAACGACGCCACGAAACTTGCGCGTTAGCCGACAAAATCTAAAAATACCCCTTATCCAAGGCAGCAACCAATATTGTTTTCAATACTTATCGTTATCGGTGTTGTCTGGTGATTTTTATTTAAATAATTATTAATTAAGTACATTCATGTATAATGGTAGTGACTCCGTGAAATATTATAATTAACAAAAATGTATGGCTATATTAAAATAATACATATTTTTAGTTCTCATATTTAACCAGTTTGCGCAGTTTGAGTTATTGAGAGTTTAAAATATTTTAAGCCATTTTATTAAATTATAAAAATGCTTGTTAAGTTTTGATTATTTTATAAGAACAAGTTAATCCAAAATTATTTTTACCTGTGACCTGTCAATTTATGTTCCGATAGTTACCAAACAGCTGCCATCTCTAGAGCACCTCGAAAGAACACGAATTGCAGCCCTGACATACGCCACTATCGCCTGAACGCTCACCACTAACGTGACGTGGAACGAAAAAAACGAAGCAGACACGAAGCCGAGCCGAGCCGTCAAATTCGTATTATTCCACCGCTCATATTTTCCAGGTCATCAATCGCAGTCAGAACCGTGAGACAAATAGATCAAAATGGTGAGTTAAACTGGCCAGCAATGGAGCAATTAGCCTAATCCAGACCCCCAACAGCCCGCTCCTGCAAGTTCAACGTCCGTGGGCAGCGGATCCCGCTCGCCCAGCAAACTGACGGCGCCACGTAGCGCTGGAGCTGGGGGCGGAAGCACGCTGAAGCAGCGCAAGACCACCAGCAGCACCACGGCGGCCAGGAGTCGCGCGCCCGGCGGAGCCGGAACAGGCGGCATGTGGCGCTTTTACACGGACGACTCGCCCGGCATCAAGGTGTAAGTGGTGGAGCCTGAGCCGCTGGGCTATATTTATAGATTCCTAATTATGACACTTCTTTCTCCCCCGCCAATCCCACAGTGGACCCGTGCCCGTCCTGGTCATGTCGCTGCTGTTCATCGCTTCCGTCTTCATGCTGCACATCTGGGGCAAATACAATCGCTCTTAAGCCATTTCATTCGTAGCCAATAAATACTTTCACCTCAACGAACGTGAAACAGTGTCGACGTCATCATTTCTTTCGCGGCGACGGCGATAACAACAACAGCAGCAACAACAGCATGAGAAAGAAGCATTCCGCTTGTTGAGGCATCGGTGTGTTTTCCACATGAAATTAATTAATACCTTAAGCCTAAGTTAAAAAACCTGCGTAAACGTACATTTTTTCAAAATTTCGTCGTAACTTTCCTGTCCGCCAAATCCTGTGAAAATTAGTGCTTTTCGCGGGCTGAGAATTCATTCCACAATTTATCGTGGTCATGTGCATTATAGAGATTCCGCGCGCAGCCGTTGCAATTCAAAACTTTGTAAGAAGACATTAAACGAAAAGTGTTAAGAACAAAATAAATTTTGTATTAAATTAAACATTTGGCTTCGTGTGTGTGGGGGTACGATGATAAATCAAAGGCACTGTATGCTGGTTTCTCCCATAAAGTGAAGTTCCCTGAAGTATTTTCGGCGGTGATTGCATCTTCTTTCCCTGTGATTATGTTTGCCACAGATAAGACAGCCTTTGTCCTTTGTGCGCTTTAGCTTGCTGTTCCGGAACTTTGAACAATTGCTTTCAATGTGTCCCTTTTCGCCGCACAGCCAGCAATGCTGTTTGCTTTGGTAAAAGGAGCAGGTGTGTCCCTCCCTTTGGGTGCATCTCCTGCAACTTGGACAGTGCACATAGTTGGGCTTAACACAGGTATCGCAGTGATCACAGTGCCTGTAGGTCTGGCCATTAACCGAGGGACATGTCCCACAGCGACTGCAGTGAAGATTCTCTTTCGCAGTGTAGCAATCACAATCCTGACAGTATTTGTAGCCCTCTTCCAAAGGCAAGCGAAGCAATCGCAGTGGCACATTGGTGAACATCCTCACGGGTGAGCCGCAGAAGCGACTCTGCCTGCCCACGTTCGTGTATCGCAAGTGATTCGTATAGTTTATCCTGTAGTCACACATATCCATCTCCGGCATTTCCTGCTTTATGTGGTTCGCAGAGTAGTAGGGATAGATCCAGAAAATGGACAGTGGAGTGGAGGGCAGCTGGTTGATCCGGTTGTGGAGCCTCCTCAGGGAGCGTAGGGTGTGGGAAATCAACTCTGTGCGACAGCCAAAGGGCGGATCGGTCACAATTAAGAGGTGTTCCGAGCTAGAATTTTACAGCTTTTAATTGAGGATTACATTAACTTAAGGCTATTAACTAACTTGGAGCAATCCAGGAACTTCTCAAATGGTCTTCGATTGTAGAAAAAGTGATTGTTGCACATGTTATAGAGGCAGAACTCCCCTGGTCCCAGGTATCCAGCAAATCTCTCATCCAAATCGAGAAGAAAACTTTGGAGTTTATGACGCAAATGGAAGTGGAGACGCGGTGCTCCCATGCAGACTACTTTGCTAATGTTGGAGGGTAAGTCAAAAATCGAAAATATAATGTGTTTCACTCACGTTACTCCCAAAACTCGGCACTGTTCCGCCAGAAAGTTCAGAGCAGCTTCGTCAAAGAAGTACTGGGCATTCACTTTGTCCTGGGAAAGAGCTGTTAGGCTTAATGTGGGATCAGAAAGAGCAGGATTCGATCCGTTTCCGGGTAATGAGGGATATTCTCTTTCCTCAGGTTCAGTCCCAGGGCCTTGACCGTTCCACTGGTCTGCTGGCAGGTGAAAATTGCAAAGTTTCGAGTCCCGGTGAGCGGAGCAGGCGTAGTATCCCTGCCTGGGTAGCTGGGATTGCCGGTAGAACAAGACAGTGGGTCCATGCTCGCAGCGGGGGTGTTGCTCGCCGCCCGCAGCGTCTTCTTCCTCTGCCTGGATAAGCAGTTTATCGCTTTTACTATCAAACATGCTTGAAAACAAATATTTTGACGGAAAGCAACAGTTGGCGCTACCACCGAGCTGCCGAGCTGCCAACTTGTATGTAAGAAAAAATGCTGGAATTTTAAGGGGGAAGTTTCAATAGAGAGATTTTTTAAGAGGAAAGCCACATATTCATCTGGTAACACTTAAAAAATCTATAAAAGCAACTCGCGTCGTTTAATTTTTCTCTTATTTAATAAATATATTCAAAGCCGTCACGTAAGAAAATGATTACACCAAAGCAAAGCCAAATTAGTGGTTTATATTTTAAAGTGAAGAAAAGTTGATAAACTACACTGATGCAGCCGGAATTAAACGATTTAAAAAGGTGAGTGAAGAAAAAATTGAATGTTTTTTCTGAATTTGATGAATGTTCTTTTTCCGAAGAGTCGAGTGCCGGGTCGCAAGGCTTGGCACTCTTTCCTGTAGAAAGAATAAGAACGGCCAACTGATTAAATATACTAACTAAAATGCATTCCTAAGTGCACTGTATAAGGCAAAGCAATTAACCCTAAATTTCATTTATTGCAGATGTGAAAAACCACGTGGCGACAGAGGGCAAGCCGGCGTTGACATGCTTAGGTATGTGTGTGTATGTGTTCCCCCCTGTGTGTGCGTGTGTGTGAAATTTTTTCTGATGATAAGTTCAATCTGAACAAAGTGTTGTTGATTTATAACTTAAAATTAAACCAAAAGGATTCTGAGAAACAATTTACATATTAATGATTAATGTAGAATTATTAACGAAAAATTAATCCAAGTATTTTCTTATATTTTCAGCTTTTTACACAAAAAAAGGCGGCATTTTGAGGAACCTGCTTGGAAAATGTGAAGTTAGGTAAGAAAAGTTGAAATTAAATTTTATTTAAGCTGATGATAAGTTCAATCTGAACAAAAACTGTTGATTCACAACTTAAAATTAAACCAAAAGGATTCTGAGACACAATTTCCTAATAATAACTTATTAGAAATGTATTCAAGACATTAATCCAGATTTTTATTCTTATTTTTAGATCTGCATTGTTAAAAGTAGGCCCCTTTTTGAGAAACAACCCTGGAAAAATGTGAAATTACGTAAGTTTATTTTAATTTAATATATAAAATCTCAACCTAACCTGATGATAAGTTCAATCTGAACAAAGTGCTGTTGATTCACAACTTAAAATTAAACCAAAAGGATTCTGAAACCTTTAAAAATAATAGTTTATTTAATAGAAAATTACTCGGATAATCTAACCTAGTTTTCTTTATTTTTAGAAACATTTTCGGCTTCTGGAAGCCTTGTTGCACTGGAATTATATCTGTCATATGGTAAGTTTACTTTACAAATTAAGAATAAAACTTAAAATTCAAATGATGAAAGTAATTACCGTACGATTTCCGTGATTAAAAACCCCATGGCTGCAATTTTTGCAACTGATTTTTATTCCAAATTTAATTAGATTTAATTATAGCAGCTACAGCCTCTAATTTTATTTTCTTTTGTTTTAGGTTCTCCTCTTATGGAAGGGAAATCATTTGGAAAACCAGCAATGCCACATAAGGTAGGACACTATTCTTATATATTGTATAAACTTCCTTTGTGATGACAGTAATTACCGTACGATTTCCGTGATTAAAAACCCCATGGCTGCAATTTTTGCAACTGAACTTGAAAATTTACCTTTATAAATGTTAATTTATTGAAAATGTATTAACTTGGTATTGTTTTTAATATTTTTGCAGGTTATGAAATATGATTTTAATGAGGCACTTAAAGGGTTCTTAAGTTCAGGCATGGTAAGTCTCAAATAAATTATTTTTTAATATGCTGCATTGTTTATATGATGAATACCTTTTATCTATTAACTTTCGTTCTACTGAGTAGAAAATGCGGAGAAAATTTTCTGATATATAAAATAAAAGCAGCATATTGTTAAATAATTATTTGATATTGTTGTTAACAAGATATTTTATATTCTTACAGATCTGTGAACTCATGAACTCTTCCATCACCCATTCTAATCACTTTTTGAAGGTGAGTTTACATCACTTTTATTATTTAAATTTTAAAACAATATTCTATGATGTTACTTCTAGTATAGTTCATTAGAATTACACATGTTACAAACTTTTTGAAGCTGATTTCCTTCTAAATTAAAATGTTTTCTCTGTAAAAGTGAAGTTTTGCTAAGGGTATCTTGTTTTTTTTTATTACAGATGGTATAATGCTGCGGGTACTCCAAATGATATTGCTGTCTAAACGAAAAGGTAACCATTTATTTCTTGTTTTCTGGATTTGTACAGCGTCTGATGATATAATCCTAACTCAGGATTCCCTCTTCTGAGTAGAACCCTAAAACAACCATGCTGTCCACTTTTCCCTGTCTGATTATATTAAAGCACATAAAGCTTTTAATTTTGTTTATAACGGTTTGTTAACTATAAATATCTTTACTTACAGATATTCCCATAAATAATATTTGAAATCTGGAAATCTTGGAAAAAGTAGCTGTTATGGAAATCACCACAAGGTAAATTGAAGATCAATTTGGAGTAATATTAATTTGAAAAGCACTTGCTCTGATGATATAATTCCTTACTCAGGATTCCCTCTTCTGAGTAGAACCCTAAAACAACCGTGCTGTTCACTTTCCCTGTCTGAACTCAAGCGCTTTACAAATTTTATTGGTTTTATTTAAGTTATCACTTGTGCTGGTTTATTCATAGAGATTTATTTATTTACAGCTCGTATTTTGAAAGTCTTTCAATGCTAATCAACCTTAATATATATTTAAAAGGTAAATATTTATTATTTTTTTCAAATTTAATTTTCCTTAGACTTTATTTTAAATGATGAAAAATCCCTTAGTGGATTTTCATACTGAGATAAACGTAATGCTGTTGTTTAAATGTCTTCTTTCCCCAACTGATTATTCTTTCACATATGAAAGTTGTGGTTTTTAAATATTAAAATACTAACGATGTGAATTTTTTCTATTTCAGCTTGTGAACATTATTTTGGGAGCTGATTAATTCTGATGAATCTAATACAAAGGTAAATATCAAGTTATTTCGCTTTAATAATTAACTGAAATGAGGAAAATTCGTCCGTACATTTTTAACTGAGATAAATTATGCGGTTTGACGATTCCCCACCTGATCTTTTATTTTAAATAATGAGCTTTTGTCTCAATTGCTTTTAATTTTCAATTAGTTAATATAGTACATATATGTACATGTATTCTTTTCAGATTGTCTTCGCAAATCTATATGTTCTTTGATAGTTTCACCGAGCTTAGGATTAAAAATCTGCCAAGGTAAATAATCTACCTCCCGTTTCTTTTTTATTTATTTGAAATGAGGAAAATTCGTCCGTACACATTTAACTGAGATAAACCCTGCTGTTTGACGATTCCCCACCTGATCAAATCATTTCAAATATTTAATTTGTTACAAATGTTTAAGAATATTTAACTCATTCGTTTTTTTTTATTTTTTTTGCAGGTTGTGGCGTAATTATTTACTTTTTGAAAAAATAAATAATCAAATGAATCAAAAATATATTCAAAGCGTTTCTATTTATTGGGGGTATGTTAGGGATTATTACTTCATAATTTTTAATTGGATTTATAATAAAAAAAATTTCTTAAAATCTGGTATTTAATTATTTATTAAATATTTTTAAATTATTATTTATCATATATTAATAAATTGTTCTTAAATATAACCAAATCATACTAAGAATGATAGAGGTAATTGCTTTTACTCTCAATTTAGTTTTTAAATCGGCCCATAGTCTTGGTTAATTTTTTAAACATGCTCATGATTGGGGAAGTGGGCAGCATTGGATGCTCATGAACGGGGAAATGGGCAGCATTGGATACTCAGGAGCATCCAGTGATGCCAGTATAACATAATATACGCCATCTGGCGGAAGATAACGTACTAGTTGTTAATAAACTTAAGCTGGATGCTATGAAACTCGACTTAAATTTGAAGTTAAATATTTTATAGATTTTTTGTTAATTATTTTTAGGCATTCCTCTGGTGTATGCCTTAATTTGCTTTGCCTGTGCCCTTCTATATATATTTCACTTTCTCCAAAACACATTTTCTGTATGCACTCTCCTGTTTCTTAGCATTTTTAAGGACTACAAACCTCCATTTATCATGCTGTAGTGCTGTCCATATAAGCGGAAGCTGTTTCACCGCTCGCAACATGCATGTCCTGCCAGCCGTAAGAACAGCAACAATAACAGGCAATAACAACCGGGGGAAGTACATATTAAGGGCTGAAGGAACCCCAAGGAAGGGGAAAAGGGTGTCACAACTATTTTCAACATTGTGCACACATTTCATTCATTGAGTGCAGCGCAGGACTCGGGCATATTTACAACCAGCTGCTACGATGACTATGACAGCGATGTGTGGGAGGCACTTTATGCGCTTTTATGCGATTTTATGGGGCATTTTAAATGACAGTTAGTTGGTTTTTTTATTAAGTTGATAATTATCTGTGGAGTGTGGGTTTATGGCGGTGTGCAATCAAAACGCAATGAATTCAATTGAAAATTTTCCATTTCCCGTCCAAGCTCAAGTTATTTACAACTTCACTTGAGGCTTCAACAAAAGGAAGTAGAGGGCTTTCAAGGGGTTGCTATGTGTGCAGTGAGAGAAAATGTAATTCTGGTTAATTTGTATTAAAATAAGCTTAGTACTTTGGGAAAGTAAGTGCTAAATATGAATTAATGAATGAATCTCTGCTTAATTATAGTTTTTTTAAATTTAATAATAATAATATTTTTCTGAATTTTTCTCCCTGTGCTCTTTTGGTGTCTTCGCTTCCGAGGCTTTCCGGAATCTCTGGTGTCGTCGGACGCTGCCAAGTCGTCGAACTTTTTGCACTCGATATGTGACGACAAGGACATCGCTGCGCTTTTTCACTCCCGAGACTGATAAAGATAAGGCCAAGGAGCCTGTCGCCGCTGCTTGTCGAGTGGCTCCTGCAGGAAACTTTGCCTTTCTGCCTGTCTTGCCTCAGTTCCTCTTCCCCTTCCCTTACTTCTTTTGGCTCTTTTGCCGCCGTCCTTTTGACCCATCCCCTCTGGCTTGGGTTTTTGTGGTTAAATGTAGGGAGGAGCTATGAGAGCCAGCTGGGCAAGTTGGCCAGCATTTCTGTGACAATTTATTTTCTATGCTTTGGCATTCGCTTTTCAACAAATCGAAAAACTATTAAATTGGGCTGAAAGCCAGCAAACGAACGCCAAAGAGAGTCCAGTCACAAAAGTAAAAACAAATGCAAAGGAAATGGTGATGGAAAGCCGAGACATTTATTTCCGCAAAATATTGAAGATCGTATGCCCTATTTGTGGGATAATTGGAATTTAATAGTGGTTGACCCAGGGTTGAGGGTTAAGTGATAGAAAGGAGTCTAGCTTTATGAGGCTTTTTATAGATTTTTAAAGGGAGAAGGTCTTCTCCTGAATAAAGCAACAAGCCTTTGATTTCCAGGCATAAGCTATACTATCCATTATCTCTGTGTCCTGCTAAGAGTATACAAAGGCAAACTCTGGTCGCTTTCTGCCAGGACTAACTCTATATAGTACGTAATGTCGGAGATTTCGCTTTGTTGACAGTCACGCGACTTTGCCATGCTTTGGCACATTTGATTTGGCTGCAACTTTTCACCTCACAGCGGTAGAAACTGCGACGACATCAAGTTAATTGGATGGGAAAATCTAGGCAGGGAGGCCGGCAGGCATCTCTCCTGCGGAGGAGGTCACGGGTGACGAGTGACTAGTGTGTGTGTGTGTTGGGTGTGTTGTGTGGCCAAGGCAACCGAGCCCCGATTACAATCTAAGCCTTGTGGACACAGAGAAGAGCGCTTACATACATCGCACATGGCATTCAACAATTTTGAGGCGAGCAAACAGACATTAACACGTGAGCGCAGCTATCTGTGGGATCTCGGAGTATCACAATCTCTGGATCTCAGAATCCGTGAATCCCCGAGAATGTTTGCTAGTTGGCACCTACTCAAAACGAACAGCCTACGGAACTGGGGGCATATACTTGTGTATACATAGAGAATACCCAGCACTTTTCGGTTGACACTAAACTAATTAAAAGTTTGGCAGACTCCGGGTTTCGGGTTGCGTTCACCCCGACCAGTCCATATGGACTTGACTCGCCAACTTATTGGCATAAATTACGCATTGAAATCACGTGTCGGGGGCTAAATTTAATCAGAGAGTGCGGCAGCTAAACAAGAATTAAATTTAGCAACATAACCAAATCAAAAAAGGGACCGTACTTCCCCTGACCCCCGTACATTCCGTACATCCGTATCCAGGGTTGCGGTCGCAACACCGAACATGGAACACGGACACGAAGCACGGACCATTTCCCCCTTGCGAACTGAGGAGCAAAAAAATTTGCACACAAACTACGTGACTTCAATTCCTCAGTGTGGCTACAAAAGCAGAAAAGGTAAAAAATAGAAGGCTCAGGGTGTGTATGTCTGTGAGCGTATGTAGTATCTATGCGGTTAGCTTTCAATGGCCTTTGTTCGGCCCCGTGTACAACTTTTAATCCTTTGCACTTTTGTCAATGTCAGGAGACGAGATAGACTCAGATTTAGATTCGGCCCAATGACCAAACAATACACAAAAAATGGTCTGCGAATGGGTTAACGAAGTGGTAATACCCCTTACTTTTGTTTTGATAAGATTGATTATAATGTGATAAAAACAAAGACAGCATAAAACTTGACCTATTTCCATATATTTTATATGATTTAGGGTTGTAAAATAAATAAGTTTTTAAGATAATACTCCCATATTTGTTTGATAATAATTAGAAAACAACTTATTCAATTATGAGTAACGAATGTTCCAAGCTCACAATCCCAATTGGTTTATCTTATCTAAAATATACATTTAAAGACCTTTTAAAATGAAATGTAATATTAATTAATATACTTACCAGTCCAAAAACTCTTTAAAATGTATTCAATTCATTACAAACATGTCTAAAGATGGCAAACTGATGATACCCTTGCCGTAAGTGACAGCACAAAAAAGGACGATATAAACGGGGAATTGCACTCTGTTTGGGAAATAGTTTTTCACCACAATGACATTTCAGTTTTCCGCACACGAACGGTGATGCGGCAAGGGCACGGGAAGATGGCCAATAAAATTAATTGATTTTGAGGTTGCCTCCTTTTTTATACGGCTGCTGTTTTTATTTTATTTTTTTTTTGTTTGTTGGTGATTTTGATTTCTGCTGCTGTGACAGTTGACCGCATTTGATTGGCAGTGGCGGCTGTTGGGTGAGGCTGAAAACAGAATGCAATAGCTTAAACATGGCCCAGGGATTTCTAATTAGATTAGCTTGGATTTCAGACCAAGTGGAAGTGGGTAACTATAGATTTTTATATATTTTCATTAAAGAGTTTGGGAAACATATAAAGCTCAAATTCTTGGGAGGTCTTGAAATTGGTCTAGCTTTTCTTTGGGAGATAAATATATTCCTTAAGAGCCCGTTTTGTATAATATTTAAGTCTGAAATTAAATGAAATATTAGTGAAAATGTAATTTTAAAAACCCATATCTTTCTACCAACACCCTTTTCAATTTAAAATACATTCTGAACTGGTCAGTGGGTGTGTGTGCCTTTTGAAAATTCCCATAAATATCCATAAATAGCAAAGTAAAATAAATATAATAAAATATGCCGTGTAATTGGCGTATCGAAATTCGGATTAATTTTTTACGTTTCACTTTCCTCTCCATTGGACCCAGCGGCAGGGGAAACGAGCAATTTGGCAGCGTAAACGTGAACGTAAACGAAAGCGCTTTCAACGATTCTCCGCTTGCATCTGGCATTGATTTCCATTTTCCATTTTTATTAACAAGCATTTAAATGCAATGAAGTGAAATGCGAATACGAATCTCTCTATACCGACGCACATTTGTGTGTGTAAATATATATAAATATGTATATTCCAGGCTGGCCTTTGTGCTGGAACCTTTTTTTTTATGGCTTGCCATAGTGTAGATGGCATTTCATGGCTGATTTAACCCGGTCTGCCTAACAGTTTCGTCTGGGGGGGTTCTCCAGCTTTTTCCACCCAATTTTCCTTGCCTCACCACTGGCAGTTTTTCTCGATTCTTCGGCTCCTGTTATTGCTGTTGTTATTCATTCGTTCACATTTTTTCATATGTCAGTGGCGTAAATGAAAACGCAAACGGGGCGTATGATTAATGTGGTTTACATATGAAAACGAGACTCTGCTCTGTCCCAGAACTCCATTTCCCCTGGCTATCTCTCTTGCTCCGCATCTTCCGGCTCCTGTTGGTGCTGTTGCTGTTGCTGGTTTTCTTGTTGTTGGCAGTGCTTATTCAATAATTTATTGCTGGCAGCCTCAGCCACTTACAATGTCAGAAAAATATGCGCGAAATATGCATAAAAGTATTACATGCAGACTTTTGTCAGCTGGGCGGAATGTCACGCCTCCCCCAACCC